TATATATATATATATATATATATATATATATATATATATATATATATATATATATATATATATATATATATATATATATATATATATATATATATATATATATATATATATATATATATATATATATATATATATATATATATATATATATATATATATATATATATATATATATATATATATATATATATATATATATATATATATATATATATATATATATATATATATATATATATATATATATATATATATATATATATATATATATATATATATATATATATATATATATATATATATATATATATATATATATATATATATATATATATATATATATATATATATATATATATATATATATATATATATATATATATATATATATATATATATATATATATATATATATATATATATATATATATATATATATATATATATATATATATATATATATATATATATATATATATATATATATATATATATATATATATATATATATATATATATATATATATATATATATATATATATATATATATATATATATATATATATATATATATATATATATATATATATATATATATATATATATATATATATATATATATATATATATATATATATATATATATATATATATATATATATATATATATATATATATATATATATATATATATATATATATATATATATATATATATATATATATATATATATATATATATATATATATATATATATATATATATATATATATATATATATATATATATATATATATATATATATATATATATATATATATATATATATATATATATATATATATATATATATATATATATATATATATATATATATATATATATATATATATATATATATATATATATATATATATATATATATATATATATATATATATATATATATATAAATAAATAAATAAATAATAATAACACATAAATAAATAAATAAATAAAATATGTGAAACAACTTTAGTGTAAGCAAAATTAATAAAAGATACTCTGTGAAAAGTGAATACACTCAACGTCAATAGGTTAAGCTACAATTTCCCTGATATAAAACATAAACCTGAACACCTATGGGGAAAAAAGAAAAAAGGAAAAAAAAAAAGAAAAAAAAAAAAAGAAAGAAAGAAAAAAAAAAAAATAGAATGGTGACAATTATGAATGATAATGATGTAATATGAAAATTCTAATAACAAAAAATGATATTACCAAAAAAAAAAGAAAAAAAAAATCTCAAATACCTCAAAGTCTTCTTCGTCACTCTCGTCAAAGTCAGCAACAAATTCCCGTGTTTCTTCCTCGTCCTCTTCTTCGTCACCAGAGTCTTCTTCATCACTACTCAACTGAAATTCAAAAGGAATGTTAAAGTCAAAGTAATATTGAACAGATTCTTTGTTTGTGTTCACCAGGGACCTTATATGATGCTCAGGAGAGGCACATGGAATACCCAAGAAACCATGTCTAGGGGGAAGAATGGTATTTCTGTTGTCCAAGAATTTTTCTTTCAATCAAGGGACTCCATGAACTTAACCAAGGATTCCCTATTTTTGATACTAGGTGCATACACTGACACTAACTCTAGCTTACATCTACTTAACATGTAATAGTCTCCAACTTAAAAGTCAGCTCTTTCCATTATGGGGTAGATGTTCTGCAGTTCTGTGGGTCTTGGTATCACTTCAGGCAAGTATATTTGTGAGGGCTACCTGACTAGAATTAATGTTGGAAGTGTCTACAATACATAATCACAGGCTCCAATACAACAAGAACACCAAACCTAAACATTGCAACTAACAACATCCTTACAAAAGCACTAACAATACCATGATTTCTATTGCCAACACCTCTAGCTAACAAGTCAAGCAACATATACAATGTAACATCACTGGCACTTACATCAAGAATACCACTAAAATACTAAAAACACAAGAAAGCATCCAAACACCTATATTCCAAAAGAAAGTACACAGAAATTGCCAGCCAACTCCTCTTCACAAACCTCCCAGTTATGAACCTCCTAGATAATTGGTAGAAACATTTTATCAAATCCAATAAAACACCCACAGAAGCTGCCTCCTACAATTCTCCCAGCATCTCCTCCAAGGGTAATGAAAACTTTTCGTATTAGTCAACCCTCTCCACATTCCACTTTCAGCCACTTCACAATATTCCTCACAGACTTAAAACTAAGAATATACAATGGCTTCAGCTCATACAGATCTCCAAAAAGAAATTTACTTAGCAACACAAGTCTTCAATGCTATCCCCAATGCTATCTCAGAAATAACTAAAATCTATGAAACAATACCAAATGTTTGCTGCCATATACCTCACAGAAAGAGTCCTATGTCAATTTTAACAGCAAATCATTATAAATCAAGAATACCCAAAGGAGTACCTTAAGGCCCACCTACTCATACTCTCTCCAGTCTAACATATACATGCATGATACACAGACATCACCCCAAATACAGAAACCTCCCTTTACACAGATGACATTACAAACTTAACTCATCAAAATGTGAAGTAACAATCAATACATGACCTACAATAAAGTCAAACCCTTACACAAAGCTTACTCTCAAACTTAAAATTTTGCACCATAAAAATCAACAAGCACACTCTTAAAAAATTACATGAAGGGAGTACAAACATACCCTAACCATCATGCTCAACAACTCCCTCATCCCATCCCGGGACAACACCAAAATAATAGAAAGTAACAGACTACACTTCCATCTCTTTTACATACAAATGCACAACACACTTTAATGATTTTATAACTATCCCATGCACCATTTTTGGTAAACATAAGGTATCAATGGGCAAGAAAGCCAGGCACACATGAATAATCATGCAGTGACAAGACTCCATGCCTAATCAATGTTATTATCTCCTTCTGCATAAACAATTTTTGCATTTTGCCATTTTCTAATTTCTATATTTGTAATTTAGATATGCTGTATCCAGATGATAACAGATGGCTTTCATTGCACAGACTTCATATCATCTCTCTAAGTGGTCCTTAATTCAGTGCAATAATAATAACCATAAGTAAGATTTTGTTATTTGTGTCTTTTTTGTAATATTAAGTATTCTGTAATACAACCTGCTCAGCAGGGCAGGAATAAGATCTTGAGCATGGGTATAGCATCCTCTTAGAGCTGGCACTCTTTCAGCCATGGCTCATGGATGGTACATCATAGGAAATAATGCAAGATCTCCTTTCCTACATACCCACCCTCTAAGAGCTTTGTGCACTTGTGGCCATTTTTGTCACCCTAGCCTTCAGCACAAACTCTCATGAATGCAAGTTCCTGGTACTCAGGCCTGAGCCAATTTTTTCCAATTTTTCAACTGCCCCTCAGGCTATTTTTTCATGACATAATGGTCTCATCATCCAGATTGCAGGGGTTGATAAAGTAACAGTACAGTGAAGCAACCAAATAGATCTCACTAATTTCTAAAACACTACTGACAACACAATCATATCATTATTACATTCTAGGGCTTTTATGCATAGTAGTCTCTTAACCCAATCATCATGGGAAAAAATTACCCATCTTAATCCACTCATAATGGGATTTCCTTGTGAGTCTATATACTTACTGCCATGCTGAACTCTCATGTGTGCTAAATGGAGCCAGGACAAATGTCAAGTGACAAGCACCCATGAAATGCCTAGTTGTCCCTGTTCTAAGTTGTGTGTGCTAAACAGCTGTTCACCTATTGCAATCTGACTGTGGTCACTGAGGTGATACATGTAGGCCTAGCCTCATTTACTAAAAATACTTATGTACATTGCAGCCAAAAGAGAGAAGGATAAATGATGGCTGTCAATGCTTCTAATTTTTACCCCAAACAGCCATCTCCACAAAGCCTGGCACAGGAGTCATTAAGGCATATGAATGGGTTAAGAATGACAATCCTCAATTTCTTTACTAAAAAATTTCCCTATTATGACTGGTTTAAAATATTCCTATACATAAAAGCTCCAAAATGCAACAAGTAATGATAACAATGTTAATAACAGCAACATCATCATCATCATCATCAGGCTGCGAAAAATCCCACGTCCGCACGTCTTTGACGAGTGTAAACTTGTGGAGGACAAGTAAAATGTTTACCTCGCTTGTCCGCATGGACGAGTAAAAATTTCCAGTAGATTTTCCCCTAAATTTAATGAAATCTAGCAAGGTCTAGTTCCTTTCAGTTCTATGATTATGGAGGCTGCCATATTTGTTCATATTAGTTTCATATATTAGTTATTTATATTAGTTTCATATATCACAGTTGATAAATTTCTTTATAATATATATATAAATATTTCGGACAAGTGGTATTCAAAAGAGGACGAGTGGAAAGTCAGGTGAAAAAAGATTTTTCGCAGCCTGATCATCTGCCTGCAATAAGTGTAACAAAACCATAACAATAACAATAATAATACAAAGAATGCCAAAGGAAAAAAGTTCACTTGATATGAAAGCAACTTCATAAAGATAGGAGACCTTAGTGTCAAAAAGTATTGCCAAAAAGAAGGCTACTAAAAAGTTAGACTGCGACATACATCCCACAACTACCTTCACTATGTTACTAGAACTGCAATATTGTTTTATCATTTATCCTAATAATAAATTAACATTAATTATACTATAATCAAACTTACCTCCTCATCATCATCATCATCTTCATCCTCATCATCATCGTCGTCATCATTTACAACTTCCTTTTCCAACTGTCCTTCGACATCTTCATCGGTCTCCACCTCTTCTTCCTTATCCTCATCATACTCCACTTCATCAATGTCGCTTTCTACTTCTTCCCCATCAACTCTTACGTCAAAGGCTTCTTGTGGGAAGTTGTATATACGTTCATACTGTAAAGCAAAATGAATAAATAAAAGGTATGTGTATGAGTGTAGTCGAATACATCCACACACAAATACATATACCCACAGACAATCATTCACACACCCTCTATTAAATGTTCTTGTTCTTCTTATCTCCCATTATACTGACATGACACAAAACTCCAAGGGATCTTCCTTACCGTTCCTTCCTTGAGTCTCTGCAGAAGCTGTTTCTCAATAGCATTGTCAATCCTAGCTGCAACAAGAGCCTTCTCTTCACGTCTCTTCAATCGCACTTCCTGTTTCCGTCTCAATGGTACTAATTTTTTCCTGAAAAGGTCCAGTTATTTTAGTTATCTGTGAACAGTATATGATATTCATGTGTGATTAAAAGATTAAATAAATATTATCCTACTGTTTCAAAGAAGCATAAATATCATGCTTTAATGAGAAAGTCTGTCTCATTGCAGAAATGTGGGTCATGCCATTTCATCCACAGTTTACATAATACTGATGATAGTGAGCATGATAATAATAATGATAATGACAAAGAAAAAGATATGTTATTGATCATAATTCGCATTACAAAAAAGTTAATGATGACAATGATAAATATAATAAACTACAACTATATATACACATTTACTCAAATCCCAATAAATAAAAGGATCCAAATCTCTATCATAAATTCATATCTGAATCTATATGGAAACTATCAGTATATCCTCTAATATTCAGATTTAAAATTCAGTTATTAAGGACACCACTTCGGTACGTGTCGTTAACTCCAGATTAATTCTGTTATGCCGTAAGTTCCTGTCAACATTTCCTTATAATATTATCTTGGATTCCTAAATTTACTTTTCTCTTTTTTTTTTCACTCTTCTCAGTCCATCTCTCTACTGCTGTAATTTCTGACCCTTAAAAGATGAAACAAGGCAATTGTTTGTCTTTGGTATATAGCATACTGGACAAAACACAATACCAGTCATCCTCAAAAAGGTGTACTATAAACATCAAAATTAGAATGATATGAGAAGAAACAACTGTGTTAAATTTATTAATAAACATGTTTTCACAACTTGTGCCTATAGCCAGGTTTCAACTTCGTTAATTAGGAGTTAAATGCTACCTTGCTTACATGCATCCTTTTGTTTCATATCAGCTATATCTTCTTTTATCTATTTTAACTTGTACTTGAACCCAGCCTTCTTTAGTCAGTGGCTTAAAATAAATTCTATGCAATAATCTATCATGGATACAAGCAGAAATCATATGTTATGTAGACAACACTAGCACTTACTTCCTTCCTAATTTCAGCTTTCTCATACGAGTCAGATACTGTGTGATTTTCAGAAGCCTCTGTCTGCATTTTTGACGGAAATACTTCTTCCAGAACACCAGATTCTCGTCTATTTGTTGCAGGGCTTTGACAAAGTTCCGGGAAAGTTTGACCTTCTCCCATTGTCTTGCTGGGAATGGGCATCTGTAAAAATACAAACAGGGTAAGAAATACACTCCATATGTGTGCCATCTTCCACACACACAGATTACTTTAAAACCTTCCTGTTATACAGATTCTTTCTCTCCTTTCATCATGTAAAGTTACAGTTACTGTTAGCCTATTAACTGTGTTGTATTTAGTGTCATGCAATGATAATCCTTTCAAGTGATTAAGTTTGTTTTAGAGTGTTGGTAGAGCATATTCAATAAAAACTATCAACTTAACTGAAGCTTAAGTATCTAATAAATGCTCTACATGTGCTGAAAGCAAAAAAAATATATGGATAGTAATTACCATTCAGTATAAAAGGAATAACAGAATACATATTACACAAGTAATGCATAGAGCCAAATTTTTCTAGTATAAAATAGTAAATGTTCTTACATATAGCTGGAGTGGTGCATGTATACAAGATCTTACTATATTTCTGATAATATTCATCTACACCATAAAAGCCACCGATCTAATGAATAACTAATGGAAGCAAAATATTAAAGTTCTTCTTTATCAAAATCCTATAGTCAATATTCATTTTAAACTTTACTTTGTGAATCAAAGGACTGATATATGTTAGCCTCATCTACAGAGAAAATGCAAATGCTGGCATACTACATAAAACAGGAAATATTCTTATATAAAATTTATATGTTAAGAACAATGTATAAATTAAGGAAATATTCTTATATAAAATTTATATGTTAAGAACAATGTATAAATGAAATGCTACCCAAAGTTAAAAGAAACCAAGTACCTTGTTAGAAAATCAAAAGCAAACATTAAAATCAAGACTACTAGAGGAAATATCACCTTTCTGCTGTTCTCATATAAAGATATATGATACCCTTTTCTTCTCTTACTGTAGCATACTGGCTGTTGGCAAGTGGGCAGGAACTTCTACTGCACAGCCCAGTCAAGTTGAATTCATTTCGGCAAAATTTTTGTGATATAGTTCTGTGGATATACAATGTACAATATATAAATATTAATTACTAATGTGGGAAATACAGTAGAATGAAATCTTTTATTGAAGATATAAAACATCTTATCAATCAAATAAAACAACAAAAAAGGGTTACTTACGAAATCTTAAAGGAACAAAATGACTTGTTGATGATGGTCCACACCACCTGAAGAAAAAGGAATATTGTCAAGAAAGGAAAATAATATATATAACTAAATAAAAAATGCCCACAAAACTCATAATTCTGACTTTGTTACTCCTTCATAAATCTAATGAGATAGTTCCATATATTTGAGAATGTATTATTATGAAGATATATATTTGAGAATGTAAATATTGCTGGAGAAAATATCAGATGTGAAAGTAAGTTATCAGCACAAGAAGTCTACAGCACATGTGGAGATAATAATTAATCCCAATATGGAAACAGACTACAGCATTCGGTTTCAGTCATAGCTGTAATGATTTTTCCATTCATGTATATCCTGTCTTAACTAAAGCAAGAAATTGCAGTCTATTCTGCAACTTTCTTATTTGTCATTCACTGAATACTGGGAGGATGGTCAGCTTTCTTAACAGTGCAATTCTTTATCTACTGACATTGTGACACAGCCACTAGGGCACCAAATAAACTACATTATAGAGAAGCACTAATACTGCAAATATGAAAGATGATTTTTTTTAGGAACATCTATACCTACGGTATCATTAACCAATTCTATGCTGTAGCCATGATGATTTTTCTTCTTTATGAATACAAAGACTTGAAAGTTAAAAATCAAATGAATGCCAAATAATGTTAATGAAATATTTTCTTTCACAGTTAATCACCCAGAAGGAAACCAGACAAGATTATTTCCAGAACATATAAAGGGTATGAAAGCCTTTACTGGAGCATCAAAGGCATGGGGATTAAGGTGACTGCTTGATCATTTTTATTTTATTTATTTTTTTTGTTACATACAGATGTCTTCACATGAGCTCAGCCCTAGTGACCAAACCTAATTTCCCCATTCAAAATATTATTATTATTAAAAGAATAAGTGAACTGCATAAACACGGAAGATCAGGCACTGATAGTTATGAAATCATCATTTTCACAATAGTATGTTAAATACACAAACTAGTGAACATATCATAATAAGTTATATATGTGGTCAGTGTAGTGCTTGAGACCATGCAGTAAACAATTTGAGAGCTTAAAAAATTAGGTCCCAGCAAGAAGTTCAAATGCAAATGTGAATGCACTAATATCATTTCACTTCCACCATGTTAGTTACAGAACAGTGAATGGGAATATGTATCTTGGGTAAAAGTTTATAACAGGGAACCATCCCCAAATTCGAACTTTCACACACATGAACACCATCCTAAATACACAAAGTATCACAAAGATCACTTTATGAAACAAAAAAACTTCCTAACTCACTTTGCCCTAAGTCACCTTAACAATTTCTATATTTCCTTAGCCAGTCTAATCCTGTAAAAATTCTTAGCAACTTTAAAAATATGGTTGTGATACAAAATCTAAATGCTTATCATAGGCATATAAAATATATCATTTATTTTAAAATATAACAAGCATTAATCCTCTGTACTTTAACCTTAATTTTCTTAAATCATAGAAAATCATAAATGCACATTAACAAACAAAGCAAAATGAAATTTATTACTACAGCCACATACCTAAAGACTAATGTTGTATCTCTTATCAAATTTCCTGAGCTTAAATGTAGCATCTGAACCAGAATTTGATAGTTTTTAGATTAATACACTCCAACTTGCAGTTACTATTCCTAATCTCAATTATTCACCGTAATATGTGTGATCTGGTGTTGTTTTCCATCGCAGATGATGTAAGTGAAAGTATTAGTAAGTGTTTACGAAGTGACTACACCCTCTCAGGCAAAGTCCCTCTTACACCAACCACTCCTGGGAATTCACAAACATCGTAGTATGAACCAAAAACCTATCCTACCCAGGGACTTTCATCTCCATACCCCTACCCTATTGCTGTATTTCCCTGTTCGAAGCTAAAAAACCCTGGACCCCAACCCTTCACCATGGCCTTACCCTCTGTGAAACATCTGTCGCAACTATTCTTAGCCTGTGCAGATTATTTAATGTATCAATGAGTTTAGTTTCTCCCTTCTGTGAGGATAGTGTCATGTCTTATGATCAACTTGCACAATTTCCTTATTTTCATAGCCTGGGCTTGGCGATCACAGAGAACGCGACAGATCGCAATCTCCCGCATAGTCACGTGCACTCTCACCGTCGTAAATGGGTTGACAAACAGTAATAGAAAAAATACAACATACTCAAAACTCTCCCTCAAATGGTGGTCACGTGAGAACAGTTACGATGCTTGAATCCTTGTTCGTGTTAAGTTTATGTTAACGATGGATATAGTGTGTTTATAGTGTGCTTGGTATGTGCGTGTGTTGAGTGGTCCCCAGGTGTTATTCATGTGTGACAGTAGCATAGCTTATTATATTTTTGATATGTTCCAAGGTTACAAAGTTGGTGTTACATATGATTAATAAATTTGAATTATCTTTAACGTTTTTTTTCACCCGTATTATTATTCTGAAAAAAGGGATAAAAGATCCAGAGAGGCTGAATCATACCGTGAATATTGATTATTGATTACCCTCTCTTATTTCTGTTGTTCCGTCCATTTCATGCAAATTTTACCTTATACCATATTGGGAAATTCACTCTCCAGAACAAAACGGAATTATAATGATAATATACTTCGCATTCTACAAAGTGTGCTTCTAACTTAACAAATGCATAATCTCCACAAACAATCGTATCATAACATGCACTTTTAACCCATTCGCCCCAGAATTATGTTCTGTCCTCTGTAGTTTTTGGTGAATTTTGTTATATACAGATGGCTCCACATGTGCTCAGCCGGCAAGGAGTCTATCAGTAGGCCCTAGTTACCGACCCTGATTTCCCCACTCATTGAATTCGCGGGAAAATTAGTACCATTGCTATCGATATTGTTATTATTGTTATTGATGTTACAATTATTAAATTGTCAATAGAATATTTTAGGCAATGAAATGATACAAAAAAACCCTTTCCTAAAGTGAAGGAAAAGGGTAAGCAGGTGAAATAGGAAGTTCTGATAAACTGGCTATTTGGTGATCAAGAACTTATGGAGCCATGTGTGTGTAAATACAATAAATAAACGTGTATCGAAGTGGGCATGGCATCTATTCTTGCGACGTGGGGCGAATGGTTTAAGGAGAAACAATATACATAATTATATTAACTTGGTTCCGCTTCTCTATAAATGTGAAATTTTATATGAATAAAAATAACACAGAACCCAGTATTATACCATAGAAATAAACAGAAACCATAAACTCACATCGTCACTCTGTTGCATTGTGGTGAATTCTGTGTAATTACATACAAAAAATTAAATACAAAATATGGGAAAATATCGCGTGGACGCCGCACGTGTTGGTCTCGACGTGTTTACTATTGTGCCTCGAGTGGGGATACAAGGGCAAAACTTTTTTTTTCTCTCTTGTTTCTTTTTCGACTTTATGAAAGTATATATTCTTCTAGTTTTCTTTGTGGTATCATGCTAAAATTATTCTCGGAGTTCAGTTATTTTCGGAGTCTTTTAAATGTAAGATGGCATGGAAAGACCTAGATATTATATACGTCCGTAGTATTCTTTGATTTTTTTTTTATGAATAAAACAAATATTTGATAAATGCTGGGAAAAATAATGTTAACTATTATTCACGGAACAATTTATAGTTAGTCAACTTGTAATAGTGAAATATAATAAATTTACAGGTATAATATTAACAAGGGCTAAATATCTCAACCGTTATTATTATTATTATTTTTTTTTCGGCAATACCCAAATAAATATATAATTCAAAATCTCATAAAAAATATCCTATATAGGGTGAAATAAACATATCTGCGAGAGATATCTTGTAAGAGTCATTAACGCAGCATTTCCCAACCTAGAGTGCAAGGAAATATACTTTTTCTTTCTCTTTATCAAAGTCTTTTTTTTTTTACCTTGGGGTTCCTTGAATGCTTACCAGGAGTTTTGTAATGGTGGTGATTTGTAATGATTTTTAAATTAATGACAAAATATTATTCGATACCTGCATAAGTATGTACGTGTATATATATATATATATATATATATATATATATATATATATATATATATATATATATATATATACATATACATACATATATATATATATATATATATATATATATATATATATATATATATATATATATATATATATATATATAAAACACACACACACACACACACACACACACACACACACACATACACACATACATATACATACACATATGTATTATGTATACATGTATAAATGTGTATATACCTTAAAAATATATATACAGATACCTCCATATATATATAAATTTGTAATTTGTAATTTTTGTAAGAGCTCGTGATTAAGGCGCTGAGAATATATGCAATTGAATATTAGTGAAATAAAAAATTGGGTATTGTTGAGCTTGATTTTATACATGTACAGCCTTAAAAAAAGAAAAAAAAAAAAAAAAAAAAAAAAATGGGTGTTACTACAATGTTCTCAAACTGCCATATTATTCAACTGAAAAGTACTACAGTCAAGGAGAATATTTTTTGAAGAATAGATTTGGAACAGTTAAATATTGAAACAGTCGTCAGAGGAAGAAGATAGATAAACTAATACAATAAAAAAAAGGATGAATTCTCTGGGACATCAATAACGCGTATGGTTACAAGTCATTCATAAGTTGTTCAATTTAGAGTACCAAAGTTAAAATCCTAAGAAGGTATCCCTCCCCTTCACCTGCTAAGCTGCAGTATCAGTTTATTCCCTGATTAGGCCATTTAAAATTAATCATTAGTTTTTCATCACTAGATGCTGAAAAAAGAGAAAAATTGACGGGGAGGGCATTTTATATTTTATATTTTATATTTTAAAATTTTCTCATCTATGTGAAATGAGGAAGGCTGAAGTCCAATATTTTGTGCAATTCAAAGTACGTGTATTTATTCTGAACAATAAAAACAGAAATTGAAACAACAAACTAAAAAATATATAGTTTAACATTCCACAAGAGGGCTGTGGCTTCAAAATCAATATCAAATCAGTCCAGCAGTATGATAAAAAAAAATATAGACTACAGATTTCAGTGACTTAGAATTTCCTTGACTTGCAGCAGTATAGTTTGGGTTACAAATTTCAATAATCTCCTTGGCATTGCACCTTTTATGCGATCTCTGGTGCAGCAAAAAGATAAAAAAAAGACACATTTTAAAAATATATAAAATATTAAGGAAAATTGGGGCGGGCCTAAAAATCGGGACAGACGGTGATGAAAAACTAAAGATTAATTTTAAATAGCCTTATACCTTTTTTTATGTGAGAACAATCATATAATCGCATCCATATATAACTACATTTGGTGGTGGACTCATATATGCATGCGAAACTACCCTGTGGGATTTATGACGTGTAAATTAGCTGGAATCAAGAGTGATGGGGTTCGCATAATGGGCTGTCTTGTTATATTCATTATAAATTCATGTTATATTCCTTGTAAAAATAAATCAATGAAATAGTTATATACCCTGTCCTGTAAGGGGTACCTGGTTCGGTCATATGATATTCCTGAAGAAGTATACACGATAAAATAGTTATATATCCTGTACTCTATCTCTATCATCAAATAAATGCAGTATTTTGGGTGTGAGTCATAAAAGTTAATGCTAGAGAAGTCAGTCAGCATCTTGCAAGATGTCTGTATAGCAACCTTCTCCTGCCTTGGTCTCAGTGCAAGAGGTACAAGAATGGGGGACCCTGGGTAAGGAGCTCAAGATCAAATTACCGTTGTATTTAGAGGAGGTTTCGTTCTTAATACAGAAAATAGTTCTATAAAAATAAGTTTTCTAATGGAATTCATTATCAATGTTATATTTACCCCTTACTACTACGTTTTCTTTTATAGATTTCGACGGGTAACTATAATCTCTTTAACTAAGAAATTATTTATTAATTTCCCCCCTTCACCCCACCATTTATTCCGGTTTGCATTGTATTTTGTTTTCATTTTCCATCACATCTTTTGTATAAATCATCATATTTTAATCATAATCAGAGCTGGGACGTAAAACCCACAAGGCAGTTTTGTCATACATATTTAAGTGTGACACCACAAGCTCCACATAGCCAAATGCATATGTAGATATGTACCATTAGATACTGATATGCATATTTTTTTTTCAAATTACATCTATAAACCATTATATATAGTTCATCTACAATCAAATCAATTACAAACATATTTGCGGTATATTCTCAACAATATCTACAAGCATGGTCAGAATTAAATGCTTGGATTATGCATAGAGTGGTTGAATTTCTGGTGCAGTGGTGCAGTTATAAACATGATATAATCATCAAGTGTTGGACAAAATAAATAAATAAAATAGATAAAACAAATTAGTTAATCAACCAATAGTATGAACCGAATTCATGTAGACAGATGTAGAAAAGGTATCAATGAGAATGAATATTTTCACAATACAAAATATGTATTTAATGCTTTAAATACATCTCGTGTATTGTGAAGATATTCATTCTCATTCATACCTTTTCTAAATATGACCAATAGTAGTTTTGTTATGCACATACAAGTAGGATACCACCAATAGTTCTGTATAGTCACATGGTACAGGGGTTAAGGAAGATAAAGGCTTCTTTTCTTTAACTCTTTCTCTCAAAGTCTGTGAACTGTAAAATTAATGTTTAAATGTTGAAAAGCTCATCAAAATTTGTGTCAATCAACAAAAATCACAAAGGCCATGCAAAGTACAAGAAAGGTTCTTAGACCCTTATTCATTTTTCTTCACGGTGGTTCTATCTATTTGTAGTATTCTTGAATTCAAAATATTTCTTGGATTAGTTGACTACATCCTTCTGAATACAGTTTGGATGAAACTCATTAACGTGTCTAATAATGATTAATATTGTGAGATTTGTTCAGTTTATATATATATATATATTTTTTACAACTCAGCTTCCATACCTTAATCTGTACTTCTTACTTTGGTCCTAGAAGGATATGGAAAGTTATAGTAGATATATTTGTCTCTTCCCATTTATTTCTTCATTATCCACTTACTCACTGACTCAAATTTGTTTTGGTGTTTCTCTTACAACTGATTGTAATGCATTTAATCATTTTCATTCCCATTACTGTGCATGTACTTACCTCCATTTATATTTATTTTATGAACCATATATGCCCAGCAATACATGCACTTATAGTCACGCACACCGAAAAAAGGATTCTTGAAGAATTTTTTTTTCATTTCCAGTATTTATTTAAATATACAATTTCTTCTACAATCTGTGATATAAACTTTTCAAAATAGGAAAGGGATTTCCTACATTTCCTCATCTCCAATTTGGCTGTCCTCCACTTGTCTGGAAGCTGGCATGTATACCTTGAAGGAGAAGTCTGTCTTTGAAAATGAACCCTGCAATAGGAAAATAAACAAAGATGTAAATATTGCATAGCAACAGTGGTACTTTTTACTGAAATCTGTAAATCAGAAGTTGATAATCTATTGCAATTACCTATAAACTAGTGGGATGAAACGTTAAAACATAATACAAATAAAGTGAAAGAACTTGCTTCAATTAAAATGTTCTACTTAAATTTGCATAATCCCTTCCATGTGTACTGTACAAACAAATACTACTTACTGGATTCATAACAATGCACTGATTTTGTACTGTAGTGAAGGCATCTCCCTTATCAGCTGTAATAATGAGGTCTGGAGTGGGATGCAGTGCTAGGCAGTGGTCTAGTCCCCAGTATACAGGCAGGACATGAAGAGGCAACGGAGAAAGATGCGCTTGGCAGACCATAGTCTTTGCAAACTAGAAAGAGACAAAGAACAAGACAAAGTTAATGGCAATAGATTGTATTTTCCTGATAAAATATAACTGACAATTTATCCATGTAGGGGAACTGATACAAATATTTCAGTCTGTTTCACCTGGATCATAGTAATTATATATAAATTACTTGAAATTTCATGAAACACTAATGCAACTGCAGACTAACATAATCTAATTTTTTTTCTTATACGTCCTTAAAAATTCAAATAGCAGAAACTCTTGCAAATGCAGCTGAACAGTGATATCTCTTAGTGATTCAACATGAAGTAATATATCTCAAGCTTTGTTTTATTTTGTTTCCTCATCTGTGGCAAGTTCAGTGTAACTGATAATTAAAAAAAAAATACTATGACTTACATGAGCAGGAATATCATCAGAGTTATTTGGAAAATATACACAGTTGCGGCACATTTTAGCTACAATGTTCTCTCGGAAGATAACAATCTCTTGTGTGCAGTATAGGAGGCGGCATGGGTTGCTCACAAATTCTGCATTTGACACTTTCCGTCTGATTCCATCTG